AATTTAATAAATATAATATATCGATTTTATATACTTATTTGATTGAATTGATACCAAATTGAGGCCAATTTTAGGCTAATTTATGGTTATTTAAATTCCAAATTGATGCCGAATGATGCTGACTTGAGATTAATTTTAGGCTGATTTATGGTTATTTAAGTTCTGAATTGATGCTGAATGATACTATATTGAGGTCAATTTTAAGCTGATTTATGTTATTTAAGTTTTGAATTAATGCCGAATGATGTTGAATTAAGGTAGGACCCCAGAAACTTCATATAAAGGTTGTTTTAAATTTTAAGAAATTTACTATTGTCTTTATCCAATTTAACCCAAAAATTTACTAGTGATATTACTCAACTTACCAATAACCTTAAATTTTTTCTAATATATATTACCCAAAATAAAAACAACTTATTAATAATTTTTATATAAAAATTTATTAATAAAATTCAGTATACAATACAAATATATTTGATTTATTAATCAAAAATCGTTGTTAATATATTAGTTATATGTTTTTGTGAAAAAAATTCAAAAATTTTCCAAGAATTTCCTACTAAGCATAGACGATCAATTAGATTAGCAATTGTTAAGTTTGTATGAATTATATCTAAGTTATTATCAAAATGATAAATAACTTATTTTGGAGTTATATGTGCAAATAAATTACCACCTGATTTACTTGCTGGAGAAAATAAATTACCATCAATATTTATATATGTAGCAACTAAAATATATGATAAAGAGTCTATATCTTTTGAAAAAGAAATATAAGCATGACGTTTTGATACCAATTTATACATAGATAATACTTTTCCTAATAATATCTCCTCTTTTGATATATATAAAATAAAATTGTTTTCTTGTAATGGGTTATTATTAGTTATGTTTGCATAGGAAATATCTGAAACTATTATTTAAAATAATAAATAAATGCAATAAATTAAAATTAAAAATTATAATTATATTATACCTTTAATATATTGAGGTAATCTAATATTCTCAAGTTTTTTTCTTCCTGTCCACCTTTCTTTTCGTGATTTAATTGTTGGTTCAAAAGTATTATTATTTCAAAAAAATTCTGAAACTAGTAAATTTGCTGAATTTTGATTTAATTTTTCTTGATTATCAGATGATCGAATTGTATTTAATTGACGATTTTGACAAGACCGCTCAGATTGTGAAAATGCATTATGAGATATACGTGTTTGAATTATTTGTGATATATCCATTGAGTTATCTGTATTAAACAGTTCATTTTGTTCTAATTCAAATATCGGAAAAAAATTTTTTGATGTGTTTAAAATATAATCCAATTCCATTTTTGATGAGTTTGATAATTCATGCTCTTGTTCTGATTCATTTATTTTTTGTTCTAAATCTACTAACTGTGATAATTGTGCTACTTCCAAAGCTGCATTAGTTAAAAGAAAATCTTCTTTATTCAAATCAAATCCATCATCAAAATTAAATCCACTAATATCATTTATATCATCAGAATCACCAATATTTAAAAAATTAGAAATTGCCATTAATTGATGTGATGTTAAACCATAAAAATGCGGAATTGATTTATCATTTAATAATTTAATTCCTAATGCTTTAATAAATTTTGCTGCATCATCATATGCTATTTTGATTGCATCATGAATTGCATTATCATCTGACCATTTTTGTAAAATATCAATATTTTTCTTTGAATTAGAATTTGGATTAAAATTAAATACATATCCTAATAAATAATAAATTAATTAAATTTATTATATTTGCATAAAATTTAATATATAATAATTATTAATTTACCTGATGCTGATGTTTTTTCCTTTTGAATTTGTATATTTTGTCTAATAATTTTGTCCTGATATGCAACACGTTGTTGAATTTTAAAAAATTCATAAAAGGAGAAATCATTTGTTATTTGACGAGATATACCAAATACATGTTCTATAGCCTCAGTACCATATTCCTAAAGATATAAAGGGTATGATGAGTAAAATTCATGATGAGATATAATTACAAGTATTAAGGATTTTGCTAAATTAATAAAAATTTTAAAGCTTTGCGAAGAAATAAAGTTTTTGATAATAGAAAACATTGAATTATATAGTTTACTGGCATTATCTATATATTCAACCCACATATTTAAAAAAAAATATCCACGTATAGCCATGATAATTCATTCTTTATGAGAAATATTACGATTAAGATAGGAATCGAAAAGATCACCTATTTTAAAGCAAAAAAATTTATTATAAATATAATATAATAAATAATACAAATGATAAATATTTATTGATTATCTAATACAAAGAAATAAACAAATAAAGATTGCATTTTGTTATTTTCTAAACTAGTTTGATGTATTTGTGCTAATATATCTAAATGAAATACTCTGTATGCAGCTCCATCATCTTGTTTATCAACATTTACAATATCTCGAATATAAAGTGCATGATCTGGAGATTAAGCAAGAGTTAAGAGATGTCGATAAAGTATTACATTATTCCCAAGTACAAGTAATCTTGCACCTGAATGAAGCTGATTACAAGCTGTTTTCTTAGCGTGTTTGGGATCTTGCACAGTAATAATAGGTAAATTTTGATATATTGGCATCTATATTTATTAATTTATTTAATAAAAATTTCTTTTAAAAATCATATAACTTTATTATATTTTAATTACTTGAAAATGTACATTATAATAATTATCATAAAATTCATAAAAAGTTTCAGCCTTTTCACTATTCATTATTAATTGTTGCACACTATATTCAACAAGAGCACCATCTGATTCTAAACTAACTAAATTAATACCCGCATCTCGTGACATGATTATTACATTCGTTAAAAGATCATAAATTTTTGCAGCATTAGATTCTTCATTTGTTGGTAACATAGAAATTACAAGAGGTGTAATTTTTTCAATTGAAATCTAAAAAAAAATATAAAATATGAATATATTTTTATTTAATTTTTGAAATTATACCTAATTCATACCTTTAATACTATGACTCTAACTTGAGTCGCGATAGCTTTTTTTTGTTTTATATAATTTATAACTTTGTGAATATCATTATATGTTTGAACTGAAGTGTCTGATAATTTTAAAGTTGATCTGACAATACCATCTAGTTCATCTGAATAAGTAAGTTTAGGTCAAATTTTTGTATAATCTGTCATTCCAATAACAGGTCTATTCCAATTAAATGACCTAATTAACTGAGCAAATTTTAGTATATTTTTATATACTAATTCTAGATTAGTCACAATGTCAACTTCTTTTACTCGCAAGTATCTTATAGATCGAATGCTCATTCCTGTAAACATTTGTCTAAAAATTTCATATTCACGACTACTTTCTGATAATAAACTAAAAAATTGTTTTAAGTGTTCAGAATAACGGAGACCTGTTGCTTTTTTATTTTTTAATTTTTTTTCTTGTATTTGTATCATTAATGATGCTAATTCTTGAAATGTTTTTTCTCCATCAAAAAATCCGTCTTTTCTAAATTGAGCTAATTTAATCCAAATTTCTGCATCATCATCATTACTATCAGCTGATATCCATAATGATTTAAGATTCGTATTAATAAGTAATTTGCTTAAAGGATGTTCAAGATAACATTTTGGAATAAAGCGAATATTTTTTCCAGTTGCTCGTCACTATAAATACAAAAGTCTTAGATAAATTAGCCAATTTTTATAAATATATTACTGTTGAATATGTACCTTGTTAATTGCTTGATTTAGACGAGTATCTCTTCTTAATTTATCACAATTATCACAAATACCCGATTCTCTGGTTGTAAAGTCTTCACACACTTTACTTCTAATAGAAATAGTAGATTTATCTAATAACCATGTAGCATGTGCATGTAAATAATTTTTAAGATCATTATGTTTCATTGTATTAAGATTTTTTAATTTAAGTTTGTTTTAACAGTTTTGGGAAATAATTCTCTTGCGGCTATGTCAGGTCTAACTGATCCTCTAAATTCAGTAGAACTATTAAGTACATATTCTCGATACTTTTCTTCACATAATCCTTATATGGAACTTTTTTGACAATTATATTTTCGTCTTCATTTTTACTTTTTTTAGGTTTAAAAAAAACTTTAATGCTTTGTTGTCCTTCTCCGCTATATTTACAATTACTTAATTCATCATGTGTTATAAGATTTTTGTCTCTAAAATCTCGATCCAACCGGATTTTTTTACCACACTTATAAAGAACTAACTTTGGTGTTATTTCTTCTATGAAATATTTATTAGCATGTAATTTATTTCGTAATTCCTCTATTTTAGTTTGTAAAAAAATTTTTTTTTTATGTTTTCTCTTTTTTTTGTAAATTATTTATATCATCGCAAATTATAATATCATCATCATACTCTTCTTCCAATAAAACATCATCATCTTCTTCCATCTCTATATCACTTGATAATGTTTTATTTTGCTCTTCATCTAACATTTTAACCAAATCATATCCAAAAAGATCAAGAGTTTCTTCAGAATCATATTCATTATCATCGGGTAGAAAAAACTTTATAGGAGGATCAGAACCTTCAACTTGCATATTTGAATAGAAAAAAATTTATTTTTTTTTTTTTTTTTTTTTACGATGTATATAAATATATATGCCCCTAGTAGGGCAATTTTGGGGGTTCTGAGGTCAAAATTATTACAAAGGTATCCAGAATGCTCCCAATCATATACCCGAAACTCTTCTAGCAATACGAATCCATAATATGGAATTCATGCTTAAAAACGAGTTAGGGCTTAAATTTAGTTAACATATCTCCTTATCCAAATTTTAAGTTTCCAAGACTAAGACATATACTTTCTTTATTAACACGCTGGCCTCTTTTTAATCCCAAAATAATATAACAAAAAAGTATGCAATTCTGCTTGCCCCTAAAAAAGAACAGCGAGCACCGAGGATGGAAGTGTCCGAGTGTGCTCGCGGTTCCCCCAAGCAAGCCTAATTAGCATACCATTTTTTATGTTATCCTAGAATTAATTCTAAAACTAATTCATTATCATCTAGCAAAATATAAAAATTTATACCTAAGCTCGTCTTAGGTGTAAATTTTTATATGTGTACAAGAAAGTTAAAAAGCTATAGAACAT